TATATGCTTTAACCTTGCTTATTTGGCATGACATAATTAAAAACGTCCCCTGCGTGAATTTTGATGAAAAAATCCAATTAAGAAGTAATTCCATGGGCTGATTTTAATAAATTTCGAGCTGCCAGTGAAAGTGAGCCTAGGCAAGGAGAATTCTCGGAAGAATCTCCATTCTAGGTATTATTAGATATTCATTCATTTTTTCAGCATTAGCAGCTTAATTAAGACTTTATTGTTGTGTGTTCATGGTAAAACGATGGGAGATGTTGGTCACTAAGCAAGAATATGCCTTCTTCTCGCATGGAGCCGCATGAAAAGGTCAAATCGTACAAATATTGAAAGATAAAAGCGTATTTTCTCCGCTCTGCGAATCTCTGTCCATTGTGAATAATATATTGTGATAAATACTGCTCCCTTTGTTGTCGTCGGCCTCCGTGAGTCGGGCAAAAAAAGAAGTGCACAAGACTTGTGCTGCTGTAAAAATCTCTTTGTACGGTTGCGTATTTTCACGGAACATTGGTTGAGATGGATTGGAAATGGTTTAACAGACTCTCGCCTCACCTTTGATAATGGGCATGAAGATCGTACTCACATCAATTTGTCCCGAACATGGATTTATTTGCAGAGACACTCAATGGTGATTTATGGTGAAAAATATAAATGGGTTTTATGGGAAAAATAACTGAATAATCCGAACGGCTTTCAGGAACATTGCTTCTCTACCCTTTTTGCGTCTGAGCGGAAAATTGAGCTCAAAACACTTCTTAGGAGTTCCTCAATATTGCGCCTTTTCTCGCAACACTCAGGATCTTCCCCAATAAAATTGTCTGTCGTGGTAGAGAAACTTTCATGGACTTTTTCATCGTCAAATCTAACATTTCATGTGGATTGTCTCATAAGTTTTCTCACATATCACACTAAAGTATCTCTTACGCTGAATTTACATAGAAATTATATTTGTTTTTCCTACCTCGACATCTAATGTGTTTTTCTCTTAATATGCGAATAATGCACATTAAAAGTTTATTGAAAGTTTTTTCACGTGAACATCATTTTTCTCCGCCAAGATTCATCACTCTTGTGTGAAAAATGGGAGACGCTTTTCCCGAGGGAAATGGCTCTTAAAAAAAGCATCACAGTATGGAAAAGTGAGGCAAATGGCTCGCCTCAGAAGTGTGACAACCTCACCGATAAAATTGAGTCCAACACAACCTCGAGAAGCTCATACAATTCAGGACTCGGATGAGAGATCGCGATCTCAATTCAATGGACTATTGTTATTGTTTTTAAAGAAGATAAAATGTTGAATATGCGCCAAGTCGTGGATTGATGTTTCATGAATATAAATTTCTTAACCTTTTCGTGTCGTGGAAATTGAAGGTTTTTGCCCTCGTCCGATTTCATGAAATGTATGAGAAATATTTTAATACTATTCCAATAAATATTGAATTATTTTACGTGAAAGCCCTCCTGTAGGAGGATTATTTCACGGTACATTAAATGCTGTGTCCCCAAAAGGTGCTAGAGAAAGACTCTCTGAGTAAGAGCTCTGTATTAATTTGTAGTGATGGTAAGAAATATCGAACCATACACCTTCGATATTGACCGTGGGGCGACGCTTCTTCCACTCGAAGACTCCCTTTTTGCTGAATGCGGACACCGACAATGTCTGTCCCATGAAGATGGGAACTAAAAGCTGTGCTGAAGAGTGTATTAAATTGGAAAATGGGGGTGAAAATTTTCACAGTTCGTCACACATTAAATTGTTATTTCATTTGGAAAACTATAGTGTATGTGTGTACATTTCAATGTATATAGAAACCCTGGAAATATGATCGATTCATTGAGATTACGTCTCTTGCACACATTCAGAATAACTCTGTGTGTAATCTTGGAGATTTTCACCATTTGTAATGCGATAAAAATCGTATTAGATCGTATCATACAAGAGAATGTCTTTCTTTGAGTGGAAATAGTCTGTATTATCCTTCTTAAATGCCCCCACAAATCTAGTTTCATGCTTTCTGTGTAGGGTGCTTGAGGGAGGGTAAGCAGGTTGATATGTAAAAATTTTACCAAACAAGAAATAAATCTGTTAAATTTTTTGTATTAAATTTTTTAATTGTATAGGGAATTGATCATATTCACTGTCTTTATTGTAACTTTCCAAGTGCAAAGCCACCAGTCAGTTAGACTACCGGTGAGCGGATAAATAAATTCAAGTTATATTTCTGGACGACAAGAATGTGCGATGCAGTGTGAATTAATGGTTAGTGATAGATGTAAATTACTCCAGCACGAAACTATTGCGATAAATATCTCAAGATGTGCAGAAAGTTCTTGAGAGAGGACAGCGGGTTTTGAGACTCCCCTCGAACCCGCACAATGAAATTTATGAGTCCCACCATCGCAGTTTTCCTTGTTTAGTCACCCAGATTCTCGCCCTCTGGAGACGTCCTCCCCGGAGGGTGAGTGATTGGAGCGTCCACATTCAAAGTTTACCAAATATGCAAACCTAATCTCAAGTAATACCATTCAGATGGGTATTTTCTTATCGCACCACTGCATGTTCGACATGCCTCGAGAGGGATCCGTGCCAATAAAATCACGCCAGACAAAACATTCGATTTGTTGGCACTTCTTTTTCCCTGTTCGGTGCAGAAAGTGCCATGCGGAGAACACGAGAATCCCACCGGGAGTCACACACCTTCTTCTTTGGAGGATAAGAAATTCGAGTATTGGGACGTTCTCTGCATCGCCCAAGATCAAACTCTTTCGCCCCTCTGCCATCAATTTAAATTGAGAACCATTCCCTCAAATCCCCATCATTTGCTGGTGCCCAATCTGATGGCCAAATGGGTGACCAAGACGGAGTCACACAGTTTATCAACATCTCACTCTTGAGCTTAAGCATCAAATAAATGGGGCTACATCATCTCACTTATCGCCATTATCAGCAATTGTTGGTCATCGATTCTAGGATTTCCACCCTCAATTTGTTCCGACACACTAATACCACGCGCGCTATCGCATTCATGCGTTTTCCCTGCAGCCACACCATTAAAAGGGCGAATTTTATTTTGCAAATTTATAGCACTTTGACTGTGCTTTTAAATTAAACCAATCCTATGGAAATCCACCCCAGCTTGTCACAATATAAATATTACATGACATGATAGAAAATTGCCGGCAGATTGTATACGACGTTGGCTAATTGAGTTTTATTGAAGTGTTCTCTCGCCCAGTTAACACTTTTGATGGAAAAAATATATCCACACTGCCGGAAAATTTCAAAAAGGCTTAATAAATGTCACTGAAATACTCGTTTTGTATTACATTGAAACATTTGGTCGATATCACTCAATGAATCTTTATTAGCGATTTTTAATTGAAAATATCATTCATCGATAAATTACACGCGTACATTTTATGCTATAGTTGAAATTAAAACATTAAATGCTGGAAATCTTGTGCAACCAGAAACTTGGGGACAAAGAAAGAGATCCAGTGATAAATTCGCCCATTCTACCCATGGTAAATTCATTCACCCACAGAGGGTTTATCAATTTGCTAGAATGTTTATTTTGTCGTGATATTCATCCAAACCATAACAAATACTCAACAAATATTTAATATTACTTCTTATGCAAATATTTGCTTTCGGTAGAGTTCATATTATAAGTGGGATTTTGGGAAGTCAGTAAGGAAAAAAAAGAAAAGTCCCAATGACACAATTTACGGAAAATCTTCTGTATCGATCAACTTATATTTACTATAGCTGATTTAGTTGAGAATTGAGTCTATTAATCTTGAATGATTCACCTTTTGTACTCCTTTAAAGAGATGCTCAGGAGAGAAGAAAGATAAATTCGAGGGGTTCTCAAGCTTCAGTGAAGCACACAAAGTCTAGTAATATTTCATGAGATATACCCCTCGGAGGAGCTCGCTTAGAGAGAGTGAAATAAATGTGTGAAATGGTACAGAAAGTGGTGGTGTTGTTCTCCTTCTCATTGATACCGTCAGCACAATTAATTAAATTTTCTTAATAGCAATTCTGTGTAATGTTTATGAGTCGATTTATACGACGATACTGTCCAATGAATTTCGAGTAGAGCACACAAGACTATAAATGGATATTTCCTCCAATGATTTGCGATCAGCAATGCTCAGTGAATAATTATGGCATTGCACGAAATGAAGAGAATGTCTCTGAACAAGAAGGGCCATCTAAAATTTTGCACTTGAAGAGATAAATGAGCTTTTGTTGGTGTTCTATTAATAGAATGTCTTTTGCCATATCGGACTCTCAGCTAATTGAGTGATTTTGTGGCGTACACACCAAATACAAGTGATGTTTAAAAGATAATAAATAACGCGATGCCTCGCAAGAGTGCCTTTTAATTATAATGGAAAAATGTCATTTAGTGTCAGCGAGTTTGGCAAAGAAATCTCACAGGCTCGCAAGTGTGAAATTAATGGATGTTGGTGGTGTAAAAAACGGGTCATTTGGGAAAATGCGTGGACAAATTTTAACTTCTTCTCCTGAGTCATGATGGAAATTAGACAAATAAGCCAATTACGAAGTCAATGGGACCCGAGATTGGCAGACGTGACATGTTAATTTAAATTCCACAATTCGATTACTCCTCTCCCAAGCAATTTGCCGTGTCTCTCTCCCTTTTAGAAATTGAACGCACTTCCACAGTGCGATTGATAGTTTCGACAAGCAATTGCTATGTATGTATTCTACTATTTAGGAAATATGCTCAAAAATGTAAGTAATGCATTTTCCATAAATCATCTCTCTGTGTTACACAACATTTTACTGCCTTACGCGTAATTAATCGCAACTCAAATCTCTGTCGCATTTACAAATGATCTCACCATGAAGTCCCCTTTGCTCAGCAAATGATCTCCAATCCATCAAGTTTAAGCCATGAGCATTCGCAATGATTGTGTTTAATTGCAGCGACAGTTGATGAGTGTGTAAATCTCTTTTTCAGAATGCAACTGCAATGGCCATTCCAGACGGTGTCGCTTTAACATGGAGCTATTCAAGCTCTCTGGACGCACTTCCGGGGGGGTCTGTATCAACTGTCGCCACGCGACTACAGGCCGTCACTGTCACTACTGCAAGGAGGGCTTCTACAGGGATCCCACGAAGCCGCTAAATCATCGAAAAGTGTGCAAACGTGAGTATTCTCAGTCTCTTTCCCACTGCGAAGCAACATTGCGAGATTAAGGATGGAATGTTGCATAAAGTCGCGAGGAAAAAAGCAGAGTCCATGAAAAAAAGAAGCCAGTGTTCGCAGGGAGACGGGAATGAATTGAAGATGACCACAATTGAAAGACTATATCAACACAAGATACTGTTGAATGACGTTGGGGAGAAACAAATTCAAACAGCGGGATACGAACAACTTCTTGAAAATCTCTCCATTGTTGCACATGCATAATTTATTGGGACCACAGAGTTGCAATGAAACACACACACTCTCTCTTCCCCTCTCTCTCTCTCTCTCTCTCTCTCTCTCTCTCTCGGGTTTGTGTTCTGTTATCATCCGGGAAAAGGGCAGCATAGAGACGTAAGACTGAAGGCAATGCGGAGGAATCTGATTTGAAAATATTGCAACAATGAGCATGTAATTCTGCAAATAGCGCGTCCACACAAAATTTGATATGTATCTGAGGAATTGTCGGTATTTCCAATTGTGAAACACTTACACATATTTAGATGGTAACATCAAAGAAACTCTCCACGTAAAGTGTATGGAGAGCCCTAAAAGAGGGCTGGTCATTCAACGGGTCTCAAGTTAGATACACATTTATAGTCTGCACTTTTAACTACTAAGCGAGGCTATATGGAATTTCTAAATTCTAAACGATTCTTCTATGGGCAAATGGGAATCCTCTTCTCACATGAATCCTGTATAATTTTCCAAAAACTGTCCTGACAATTAATCAGGTTCTTTTTCTGGGGATACCATGGAGGATACGACGAAAATTAAAGTGATAGTGCTTTTATGAATATTGAGCGAGCTTACAAGGTGCAAACGAGGGCTCAATGACTGACCTCTTGGGTCGAAAGCCTCTCAAGTGATGCTCAATGGGTGAATGTGAGCAAAATGACAAATTTACCACACACACGGCACAGTTTAACGGGTGAGAACTGATGACCCTGTCAACACTTAAGACCAGCAGTTTACGGAGTCCCATGAACTCTCGAAGTGACGCTATGCTCAACACGAAACCGCGCTCACCTCTCGACACACTTCGAATTAGAACATCACGATTCACTTGCTAATTTGCGATCGGCATGAATTTGCACTTGAAATTGACTTGTGGGATTGTGTATTGCTCATCTGTTTCTAGTTATTGCTCCCATCCGATTGGAAACGCTTTAGCAGACCGCGCGGGTTTTTTACAGTTTGCTCAATTCCCATCAGTAAAAACTTTAATTACACCCCGCGTTATTGCCATTAAATAATGACTTTCAGCGGGAGTGTTTATTTTCCGCATGCACTTCCACACGAGTGGAAGTGTTGGTGTGTGCTTTTTCTGGAAATCTCTTGGTGGCAAGAAAGACTGAGAAAGAAAATAATCGTGTGCGACTTTGATGCAAAAATCTGGAGAAGTATGCTTTCGGCATGGCTTTCAAAAGCAACGGTTCCACTCTCGCTTCCCTTTGAAAAAAAAAACACACCATCTTCAATTAATTAATGCCACTCAGTCGTCTTGTGTATTTGTTCTTGTGTACAGATGGAGCAAAAACGTGCGTGAAGGGGGGAAATATTTCAATAATAATAAACACTGGAATAAAACAAACACACATTCTGGCTCTGTTGGTGCAAAAGCACAATGTGACTTCATTAATGAGATGCAATAGTTGGGGGGACGAAAAAGAGACATTGTGTGCTAAAGTCATTAGAAAGTGAGACACTGAGTGGACGTATGCTCTATTTGCTCTTCTTGTGTAGCTCCGTTTCACGCCAAAACACCGTCCGACGGGGGGAGTTTGAAGAAAAGGAAGCTATTTGAATTGAGGAGATCCATGAGAGAGCAAATAGAGTTGAATGCAATCTGCAATTGTGCAAGAACAAACTGATATTTGAGCATTTCAGTCTCTGCTTGTTCACAGAGTTGCACTTATCTGAGATTAAAGTCGGTATATGATTGTGTGAATTGCATTTTCAGCAATTGCATGGAGAATTGCTTTGGGACGTGCTCAGATTTTGTACTTATTGAATAAATGAATGTCCGTAATTTCACTTTAATAAAATAGCCAAGATATTAGTCAACTCTTTATATGCTTTTCTCGGGGAATAATTAAAATTTATCGCTCTGCAAACTCACCATGCCATCGATAATTTTTCTGAGCATCCCTCTTTTGGTAATATATGTTTTCGACAGTAATCCTCCCGAGGCGGGATAAAATCATTTCCCAATGTTGACCATATATTTCACAACATGGAGAAAATTGTAATTAATAAGTCCCTCGGGAGGAAAGATGAGAATTTCACAGTGAATGCAAGTGACATCACCTCGAGCAGTATAGGGAGTTGTCTGCTTCCTCAAAGATTGTCTCTCACAATTGCCGTCACCAACTGTTGCTCAAGTATCTACAGTTTTGTGAATTGTGTCTGAAAGGGCGGAAAATTTGACGGAAAGTCTCCTGGCGAGAGTCGTTTCAATAATCCTAAATAATTCAACCTGGGGCGGCGCATTAATAATTCATTTGGGGACAAACTTCACATGGGAGCCTAACAGTTCTTGTGAATAAACAAACAAAAAGGACAGTTGGAGCCCAGGGAAAATCGAGGAAATTTATTAGGCACGCCAGAGTGAACACGTGAAGGAATTCCATGTCGTTTCTTCTGTTCATTTTCTCCCCAAGAAATACTTTTTTCGGCATCTCCTTTGAGAAAGATAGAACAGAGGAGCGGAGAAGTCATGGAGTTTGAAATGTACAAAATTTATATATATAATATTTCTAATGAAAATTCATCTCAATTTACTCATTCTCTCGTTGCACGTGCTTTTCATTTCCATTCCAAGAATGGTTCTCTAGAGAGAAAGTTGCACTTTTTGAAGAACCATGAATGATATTTAAACTTCACTGTTGGCCACAACAGTCAGACTTCTCAGAAGGTTTATTCCTCAAATTTCACGGCGCTGTGAGATATTGAGGGGGGGGAGAGAGAGAGAGACATGTTTCTTGGTCAAAAAACGAGATATTTAACCGCATGCCGATGGTCTCTATTAGAGTGTGTTGTCTTTTCACCCCTTTGCCGAGTGCAGAAAAAGTCGAGTGTGTGTGTCTGTCCAGTCGGTAGACATGAATCAAGATTTAATCTGATATACAACCTAAAAAGTTGTACAAGAAGTGAAATATACCGCACAATTTATTCAAGCTGACCTATAAGTTGCGAAAGAGAGAAGAAATTTATGGAATGCAAAATAGCGTTAAATTCACCCGGGCATCACCTAATTTTTCATCTTGTCCCCGTACAGACACTGATGTTGGTCCCCAACATTGTCTCCATCTTCCGCTTCTTGCCCAGAATTTATTGTTGTTTTTTGCCAACATTGAAATCCTCTTAATCATATTTCATGAGTGCCATCCGAGAAGCTCTCAAGTTGGGGGGGGGGGGGGAATTAAGAGACGTGCGGTTGGCTATTAATTAATGTGTCATATTGTGCCTCTGTAGCGTGCGACTGCCATCCTGTGGGATCCTCCGGAAGAACATGCAATCACACATCCGGTCAGTGTCCTTGCAAAGACGGCGTCACGGGTCTGAGTTGCAACAGATGCGCCAAAGGATATCAGCAAAGTCGCTCTCATATCGCGCCATGCGTCAGTGAGTAACCTCGAAACCCCTGTAAATTCCATTGCCTTTCTGTCACTCTAAGAACATTTCTTTGCAGAAATTGTTCCCCGAATCAGCGTGATTCAGCCTCAAATAGCGCAAGAGCCGCAGTACGATCAAGATGTGTCCGCCTATCGAAAAAGTGGCGACGACGACGAGGAAACAGGTGATTTAATAAATTGATCAATTTTGCCTGTAGACGAGGCACCTCCTCGGCAAAACTCGAACCGAGATAAACAATTAAATTAAGTACTTCCTTTTGCCGAGTTTGGGGTAAATGGAGTGAATCCTTCAGCACCAGGGAAGTTTTTCAATTTGTCAAGAGTGAGCCACCAGATATCACTGCCAGACGCCCGAGGGAAGGAATTCCTATCTTGAGCATCCGCTCTCCTTTTTCCGGATTATAATCATCACATTCTTACACATTTTACGCGAAAAATTCGCTCGCCCTCAAGACACTGCATAATAATCTAATATATAGGGTTGAAAACGAAAGGAGGATTTTATTTTGCATCAAAGTAAATGGTGTAGGGAAGAATCGTGTATTTACTTCGGTAATTAAATTACCGTAAATTCAACATCCATGTCAAATTTTTACGAAATTTAACTCCTCTTTTTTTTCAGAGTGCGGAAAGTGCAAAATAGCCACGAAACACCTGACAAAGAAGAAGTTCTGCAGAAGGGATTACGGTGAGTAGCAAAGAGAGCAAGCCTTCCGGGGGAGAATGGTCAAAAAGTATTCAGAGAAGGAAGTAACATTTCCGTTTCATCTTAAGAACCATCTTGTGAGATTGTCGCACACTTTTCGGTGCAATTCAAATAAATCTCTTCCGGTGCTTTGTCATGTCAACCTCCCCCCCCTCCCACTGAATGTTCTGACTTTATCTCACGAGGCACGCCTCGTCCATTGAGACACGTTTTAATATTAATGCGTGTGTCCATTCTTCTTCATCATCCAGCAATTATGGCCAAGGTGGCGGGCAGGGACGTGGTAAAGGACAAGGAGAATAACTCCGAGGATATGATTCAGTTCAACCTGGTTGTTCAGGCAGTGTATAAGAAGTCCCAGGGAACGAGTCTCCTCGCCGGTGTCATTCCAGGTCTTAGGAGGGCTACAGTGCCACTCATCGTGCCAATGAGAGACTTCGAGTGCAGATGTCCAAAACTTAAGATCAATAAGTGAGTTTCTCTCGATATTTCTTCTTTCCCTCTACAGCCATTTCAACACTCACGACGGGACACTTAAACCCATGTGGCAAATTTCCACATTGATGGGTCATTTGCATATTAAGAATATTAATGTGAGAAGTCCTGATTTAAAAGCACCCGAATATTTAATGAAATTTCATTTCTATCTAACGAATATTCTGTACTGTCGTCGAAGGACTTACCTGATCTTGGGGAAAGACACGGAGAATCCTCCGGGTGCTCTGGGCGTGGGTCCCAGGTCGATAATCATCGAATGGCGAGACGATTGGCACAGGCGAATGCGACGGTTTCAGAGACGCTCTCGAGACGACTGTGACTAGGAATTTGTAGTTTTTTACTAGACAACAAAGGAAATGGAGGAAATGTGTGAAAATATGGGAGAAAAGCAGAAGGAGAACGCGCTGAGATTGTGAGTTAAAAGATTAAACCTCAAAGCACACCGTGGAGGCTTCAAGATACTGAAGAGGAGGAGAATATCCGTGAATGTTATTTTCTACCTTCACCAGTAAAAGCAATTCATTGAATATCATTAAAAATTTAACACTATTTCTACTCAGAATTGACGTACGCAATTATTGATTGTAACGTAATTATTTATTGATGAAGGAATGAGAAACTACAAATTGTTTATAGCCATTCTATTATGTAAGTATTTTATTTGTCACTCTCCATTAATGCTTAAGGATATTACTTTGTAATTATAGTTAATTTATTAAGGGTATTTTTGCGAGAGAGAAAAAGTTACAAAGGATGCTGATGATGAAATATTCCTATAATTACCAGAAAGAGTTGCCATAATTTCATCTTAATTGATAGCTTTCCTTAATTCCTAGGCCCACAACGTACTTTTTGTGTAAACTAATTTTCCCGCTTTGCCGTCCCTTTTCACATTTGAAAAGGGAAGATCATGTAAATATTGCCACGATGTTGATTTTTCTTATGGAAAATAAGAACAGAAGGAAGAAAAGTCCATGCAAAATTAAGGTAGCTTAGAAATCACTGTAATTGTGTTAATTTAATAACATTAAATGACTGTGTGTGACTGCTTCAGTGTTGAAGGGAGAACAAGAGGCGCAGAAGGGTGACGAAAGCTACCCTTCTGCGCCTCGTCCACCCTACATTTTTCACAGCAATTAACCGCCCCCCGCCCGAAGAGATGGGAGTCCTCATTATCAAAATTAATCGCATTGTATCTCTAGTAATAATTGGAGAATTAGTATTTAGTGGAAGGAATATGTGTATATTTTAAATTCTATCATGTACAATTTAATGCAAAAAATCAATGTATTGATATGGAGGCCAGAGGAGATTTTCTTATCTCTCTAGAGGTTCCGTCAACCACTTTTTCATATCTTATCGGAATTTTATGTCTAAAATTTATGAAGAAAATTTGACAGAATAAAAGAAATCAAATAACGAGATATTTTCTTAACAAATATGAAGATATAAACGATTATTCATCAGGAGGAAAATGGTAATATCAATTATCATATCAACGACATTATCAATTGATTTTTAGACTTTTTTGATACCTCTTTAGACGCAGAGAATAATTTTAAGCTAAATCCTTATAACATTGGATGATCTTTCCCGCAGAATAATTACAGAATTTCAGGAATGCATTTTAAGATAATATGATTAAAAAATAAATAGAAGATAAAGTGAAGTGTGTAGAGATAAAAGCACACAGATTTTATGCAAAACAGCCATAAATTTAGTGAATGTTGTCAAGAAAGCGAATGACGAGAGTGAGAAATATCAGTTGAAAGGAGAAGAAGGAGTAAAAGTCACAATAAAATGAATTAAGTAACAAAAATTTCATCGACTTTCTCACCCACAATTTGTGCTGATCTCTTGCGAGGACATGCCATTTCAAGTCCATAGTTGTGTGACAGCCTCTTCTTCCTCGCGAATCTTGTGGCGAGGACATGAGCTTGGAAGTGATTCGGAAATCCCTCTGAATGGGAATTTTTTCGAGAGGGAATTGAAATGGGAAAAAGATGATCTTGAGAAGCTATTAGACGAAATTGAAAAACTTCCATTTCTTGCGTGGCAATTTTTCCCGCTAAATCTCAATCTGCATAAATAATGGATCTCCAGAATAGACACACACATTCGCATTCCCCCCAAATAGGAGCATGCTTTATGTCTTCGTGCCCTTTCCTCGCGGCATCAAAAAGTGCAAATAATTTGCGTGGCGTCGCGGCTGAAGCGAAATGGGGGGATAAATGGATTGGCGTTCTTAAAATTGACATGAAATGTGTCCCCGCGAGTCGTATAATCCGAAATAAAGTGAAATTGAAATGATCCCCGGCAAATTGCTCTCAATTGCAAAATCAGACTTTGTGCAAGGAAAACGTGGAATTTGAGACGATTGGGATTAGTTTCAGATTTATGCCTCTTGAGAAAGTTACACACTTTGCAATTTATTGCCACACGCTCAATCCCTACTCATTCCCATGTTTTCGGAGTTTTTTATTCTTAGCCTTCTTGCTGTCGTCTTGGTGGAAAACTCATCCAAGAGAGTGTACGGAGAAAATTTTATTGGGAAAATCCCTTCTGCATTGGGACTCTTAATTAAGCAGCAATTTCATCTTAAAACTCTTCAATTCATTCGAAAATTGTTTCTCTTTACGCGCCTTCATATTAAAGAACGGCGCGAGCGCGGTGGAATTTTCGCTTTGTAAATTCCCCAATCGGCGAAGCTGATAAGGAAAAAGTATATGAAGTTGGGGAAGAAAGTTTGGCAAAGCGTCAAGATTTCGTGATCGATTAGGAAAATCCCCATAAGTGAGGCTAAATAAAAGGAAACTCCTGTCATTTGAATTCTATAAGATGAAAGACGGTTGGAATCTAGTACGAAATTCAATACAGTATAACGATGCAAGGTGAGTTTCTTTGACTTTAAGATTTAAACTTGAGTAGAATTTTAAAAGTGAAACGACATAAATACCAAATGAAATCCTTCTAAATGCTGTGTACCAAACTAATCCATTGGAAACTTCCTTTTCTGCCCGCAAACATTGTCCAGACATTGAGATAGAGAGAGAGAGAGAGAGAGAGAGAGAGAGAGAGCTTTAAAGTCGCGTGCCAGGAAACCTTAAATTTCCCCCAGAACTTTCATTGATACCGTTCGGAAAGTCGTTGAACAATCAGACAGAATGAAGTGGAAATTTGTAAGCAAAAAAGAGCTCGAGAGTGGTGAAAAAATTCACTTAAGACTCTTCTCTCTGTCCAAGAGTGGAGGTATTTTGTTGTGTCTAAAATTGGAGTCACGTATAAGTTCGACATGTAAGCTTTTGGGTGAGGAAAAGCCACTTTGGACAGCTCCTCGCTGTAGTAAAAACTGACAATGTCCAGACAAATTATGTGTTGCTAAACCATAAGAAATGGGTTTTTCCTTCTGAGTGGCCAATTGGAAATGTGAGAAAGATTACACGCCAAGACGATGACGCCACTTCCAACGTGTAATCACCGCAGAATAACAACAATGAGGGTTTATGTGAGAAGATGAGAATATTGTTGCCATTCACAATGATAATTTTTATTACAATTCCGCTTAAATGATCCGTACGAGATTATCACCTACATTGTTTGATATTTTTGACGTAATAAAATGTCCTCCACCACCAAGAGCTTTCACCAACAATGCCAGAGCTTTTATCTCAGAGACGTTCTCACATAAGCACAAATCTCTGAAATTACTCGAAGGAGCTCTTCTGGAGGGTGTGAAGAATGACGCAGAGACGGAATAAGCAATTGAGATAGCGAGAATGGCTGGGTTTTCCCTTTTTAGTCAACAACCAGAGATGAAATAATGCAGCTTCCAATATATCTCAACTCAATTATTGACTCCTTTCACCCGCTGTGCCCACAATGAAATGAATGAATGAAATGAATCCTCGGAGTGTCATTGCTTTTCTAGTGAATTGTCCCCAGATAAGAGCTTGTTTACGCAGGAATCAAAATCACAGGGAAATGGGATTGTGCAGATGGAATCAGGGAAAGCTCCTGGCTATAAACTTCCGGAGTCGCAAATCTGCATTTGGAGAGAATGACATGGTATTTTATGGAATACGATTAGTGAGGAAATCAATAAACAAAAACACATTACTTAAAAACTGGAAAATGAACTTATATTATTATTCTTTTTAATATTTTGTTAAGATAAGAAATTTCATTAGGTAATTATAAATTTTCCAAGTAATTAGAAACTCTATTCACCGTGTAATTTTTATGAAATATTTTACTAATTACAGAGATTATTTGAAGTTTATAAATACAAAGACAGAATCTTTCATCATCTTTATTAGTGCACATTTCATAGAATCGAGATGAATTTTAATGTGTTTGCGATCGTTCTGTTTACCTTCATGGCAACAGGTAAATTTCTACACAAGCTTCTACACGTAAAAGAGGCATTATTTGTTTAATAGAGTGACTTTTCTTTTAGGTCTATGCAAAGCTACTATAAATCAGCAGTCTGACTCTCGAAATGTTATTGGATCCAATGACCAAAAAACCGGATTTTTCAAATGGTTGTCTGGAATTTCAGGATGAAGAGAGTGTGAAGTGACTTTTGGAAGTAAAAACAAAAAAACTGTATATCTACTTTTCCAATGGCTTTTTCCGGGAAATCAGCAGAATAGTGAATGGAATTTTGTGTGCAGTGGCAGGAGATAAATTTTCCGGGGGAAGCTGACAAAGACTCCGAGACTGCTAACTGGTAATGATTGCTTGGTCCCTGAGGGCCCATCAAGTCTGCCTTGGCCGGAGTTTTTCGCCGAGTGCGTCTGAGGGGTCGTAAGGTTGCCCCAGGGACTCCACAAGACACGAAATATGAATGTAATCTCCTCCCTGCTTTTCCTTCCATAACATCTTATCCCGCGGGCCCAGGAAATCTCACGAGATATTTCCACAAATTTGCAACCACTTGAGGAGAACTCGTCAGAAAGATGCGGTATTAAATTTGTGGCGAGCGGGTTTTCTGATCTCTTGTGTCTTGTGTCGCCCCCATGCTTGTCTTTATTCCCCCAAAAAGAAAAACTTGCGACGCCCCTGCTTCAGGTCGATGGCAGAGGAGAAGAGATATTCGATCATAAATACAGAATAATGTTCACTGAGAGTGTGCGAAGAAGAGAAAAAGTGTCGATTCTGCCAAGACTATATCAATAAATTGCCAATTTAATTTCTCGTATTTCTTCTTGGCTACTGAAACCATCCGTGGCATCTTATCAGATCGCGCCGATATGAAACACGCCACGTAGCAAAAAATTTACAGGCAAAATTAATAACACACCGCAAGATTGCTTTGCCAGTGAAAAAAATAGACATCACTCACAAAATGCAGATGAGGTCAAGAGGATTCACCTCGGGCACTGCAGGATCTGTTAAAATTTCAATCCTTCTTTGAATAGAGAATTTTCTCTATGGAATGAAATCATCAAAGTGTCTGAATGTTAGTATAATGGCAATTTAGGGCCGCTCCACTCCACAAAGGGTTGATGTTTGGAGGCCATTTGAGGAGATAGTAAATTAAATACCACACCAGTAAACTTATTCAACTTGAATATCTGTGTTCAGTAATAAACATGTCCATCAAAGGCTTGAATTTCACACGGACCGACTGTCCCAATTGAAATTGCTGTCCAAGTATTGGATGCTGTTGCCCTATTGATGACTATATTGCGTCCATTGGCAAACAAGTCTCCTCTCTGGCCACTGGCAATTTCGCCACAGACTTTCCCAACCACGATATGACATTTATTTGCGGGCAACTCAAATTCCGGTATTTGTTGGGGGTATTATTGCAATTTCGAAAGCGCCTTCCCTCTCCTAGTCCCATCCTCGAACCCGATTAGCGGCCAGAGAGGGGAATAAGTGCTTCATTGAACGTCGATAATTGCACGAGACGCGGAGGGTGAGCCGCACTATAGGCGTGCTCTAGCATAGAGTTGACAACAAAACGGTTCCCTCGAGGGCAATTTCCAGTACAACTTTAGAAGACAATTTTTCTCTGCAACTTTTCCACTCCAGATAAAGTTCACTTTCGAGAAAACAGTAAATAAAAGTCAAAGATGAAAATGTTTGTCCTTATATTTCCTTCAAACAATAACACTGCTTTCGCGAGTGTGAAATGTCGCACAATGTATGGCAGAAATAAATCACATATTGCCGTACAAATACATAGTACTTTTACATCTATCATTGTCGACATTATTCATCTCTGACAGTTTCTTTTTTTTACATTTATTGTGACGAGTGGCATATTCAATTAAATAAACAGTAATCAAACTAATTACTATTTAAGGCCAATAAATCAGAGTTAATGCAATTTTCTTTTATTGTATCTTCAGTCCAACTGCAGACGCGTAGTACGATAAACCTTGACCAGCAATATTGTAGTTTTACATCCGCAGAATCTGTAAGGATGTTTTATTTAATTTATATTTATCCCACATCTGGGGTGGTCGTCTTCAACGGCCCGCCAGGCGAAATGTGTTTATTTACAAAGTTCTAGAACAGGTAATTTCTGTCTACAGTATATGCAAATGATTTCGTAATGCAAATTCATGACTTTTATTTCTTCGCCTTATCTCAAAATTTCACTCTTCCAACATTGTCAGTCTCACTTTCCTCCTCAAACTTCATCTGTTTGAGTATGAAGGCTGAATGTCTCCTCTGCCTGGTAATTTTCAGTCAATAATGGGCCCAAGAACAATGGCCTCAAGGAATTGACTCCCTCTTGTACCTCTTTGTGTTTACTCATTAATTTAATCGCAGGCGAATTTGCCCCTTTGCGCCCCTTT